AGTGGATCGTCACGCCAAAAGCTCCGATAGTAGGTACATTGGTAGTGTATCGTGATGCCGCATGTCCAATAGAATGAGATAGCTTTTGCCGATGAATTGAAGAAGTATTAAGTCCGGGACAATAGACCGTGCCGGGGAAGCACAAGATCACGTATGTGCGATGTCTGATCTGTGAAAATACAGGTGGACGAAAGAAATGCATCAGCAATATGTCGGTACGCAGTACCGACGCATCGCTGTCGCTCAACCACCACCGGTCGCACATGGGCTATGGATACTGTTATGGTCGCCCTGTCCCTATGCAGGTTTGAACGCGCGCCGTCAGATGACAAGACAAGCTCGTTACCTTTAGGCTACGGAACGGTATACACATAAAATTCGTAACCTTAAAAACTGCGACCAAGAAAAATTTCGGGGAAGATGACATCAAGAAGAAATAAGTCCCAATCGACATCGCGAGCGTGGAAATCTCGGCTGTGCGTCCTGCTGGAAGGCAACAAAAAAGCTTCGGAAGCTGATGGCGCTCTGTATACGAAAGAGAGAGATCTGCGCCCATCATGTACACGGCACCAGAAGATTTCGAAATTGTCATAATTCGCACTAACAGCTTCAACTAAATGCGTGTTGAGATCCGTTTCCCAACACAGCATCAAGTTACCGGTGGACCTCACTCCATAGCCATCGGGCCGAGAAAGGTCATCCGTGGAAACACACTTCCGAATCCATAGGGTTAGGAAATAGTCAAGTTTCGCTGAAGACCATCAGATCTGAGAGGATCTCTGAGGTACGCAGCTGAATCCCACCCAGATGATCTAGACTGCGCACATTGGCGGATAGCACGTGCAGACTGTTTTTATACTTTACTGTCCGGGGTGACGAGATTCGGCCTCCAAAAGGTTCTCAAAGTATTCCGACGTAAGCGGAAATCCCCGATACGAAGGTCCATTACATCGCTTCTCCGGCAGGTTCGGAACATCCCGACAGCTCTTTTGATTGCAATCTGATATCCGGAGGTATCGCAGCACGTTAAACGGCTCACCTTTGAGACGTATGGTTTGTCAAAGAATGCGTAGATATGCCGTTTCATTTTTGTACATAGTCCTAAGGTGAAACTTGAAAGGTTCCTTTTGTTTTCTACCGAGGTAGGAGGCAAGCACAATGTTGATACAATGTTCCGCTTCATCAGACAATAGGATAATGCACCAGAGAAACAAGTGGTTAATCAGCAATCTTTGCGCAGATGCAATTTTGGCCGATTCAGACGTTCATGATGAAAAGACAATGGTCAGAAACTGATGACCAACTGATCTATAGATCATTGGTTACGATATAGTAAGTCTAAGATTCAATGCCAATAGTATAAGCAGTGTAAAATGCAGTAGGTCAGGATATATAGTTGACGGCATACGTCTCCAGATTTGCCTGTCACTGCGGCCTCTTTATGAAAGCCATAGAACGCCTGCGCCTACACAGGGAATATGAGTGAGTTGTGCTGAACCACCCACAGCTCAATCCACACACCCCATATCTAGTGTAAACCGGAAAGAATAAGACCGGGAGACATGTGGATAGGAGTCACGTTTCATCAACGGAGTAGGCAAAAAATCCATCAACATGCACAAAAGCATCCTTGTCAAATTGAGAAACCATGCGTACCAAAAAAACACAGGGTGGTGGTTGGACCTTAGACCGTTTCACATTGGATGGCGCTACGATTTGAGCCTAGTGTACTCACGAGAACCATGCACCCTGTCCCCTTAGCAACGGTTCAGTCTCCGGCAGCCTGCATCATCGAGGTAGAGGGTGTTGGACAGTCAAAGGCAAAAACAGCATCAGCAGTACGACAGGATGTAGTACCGACGCCTCATCGTCGCGCAACCACCACCAGTCGCAAGTTGGTTAAAAATATTGAGAGGGTCGCCCGGTCCTTACGAACGCTCGAACCTGCGCCTTCGGGAAACAAGTCAGGTATGTCATCCTTAACGCAGCTTGTCAACATATACAACAAGAACAGTCAGGCACTGTAAATCTCACAGTAGATTTAATGTGTCAAACGCACATCCGGCAGACAGACAGGCATACGAGTTCAGCTAGACGGAAAAGACAAAGCAAATGGTATGACTCGTTAGTTTCGATCTCGGCTATTGCACAATGGCAGAGCAAATCCCGTACCAATTAAGTTCAGTTGGACAATTATGGTCCGAACACTGAAGTAAGGTGAATCCAGTTGTCACGACTCACCTCGCAATAATAACGGCAAGACCGTGGGGTTAAAGGTAAAGCCAATGGAAAAAATTAAGCAAGTAAGTAGTGCGTTAAACTAATCAGAATGTAAATTAACCTGATGAAAGAAATCGTATGCAGAAACGCCACTGACTGCGTGACTGTGACATGTCTAATACGGTCGCCAACCATTGGTGTGGACCCTCCGGAGACCCCATCCACGAAGACGGCATGCAACCGCCTGACCAAGTCTCTCATTCAATTCTTTCATGCGTTTATGTCACGTCATCGAATGGACACCTCGCGGTTTCGCCCAACTTGGTATAGCCAAGACCTAGAATGCGCGCCGAGGAAGCCGATCAGTATGCATACGGAGAATAATGCCTAGCCAACGAAGCCAAGATATAGTAAACATTCGAGTTGGGTACCAAAAGGTTTATTGCCAAAAACCACCTGACAGACCACAGCATTCTTCAGCTAGTGCCCCCATCAGACGTCATCAATACTCCACAAGCCACGGTGGTCAACACACGGCCAAGCGTTTAGTGTCTTCGCCGCGAACTGGCCAGGTCTGATCAATAGAGTAAGAATGGCTTTAACGCAGCGTTATACACCCTATCTTCAAATGATAGACTGACACCCTGTTGTCTCCAGAAAAAGTTGGGTTTTGGGGAAAGCCATACGAGTCTTGCTGATGCGTGAAGTAACTGCCTCAGCAAAGTGACCACCAGAGGTGACAGAGCTAAGGTAAGTGAACCCAACCACCACTTCCAGTGGCTGTCCGTTAATAGCCTGAATCGGTGTGTCGGTCCAGCACTGAAAAAGTACTTTAATCTTTGAAGGTGCAAAGCACATACCGCAGCGTGCAATGCTACAGGTTAGTCCATCCAGTAGTGTTTACATAGTCACTGCGTCAGACCCAAGAAGACTGATGTCCGAATACGCCAGGTTTGTCAGTCAGTCGCCTAGAAGAACTTCCACTCCGATAGTCTGAAAGAACCGAGTTACTCATGATCATTCCGATCATAAAAATGTAGAGGAAGGAGATAGAGGACAACTCTAGCGAACCCCACACGTCCTGGGGAACTCAATACAGTTTCCCGTAGATCCTTACACGATCTCAGGAATCACGATTATAGAGACTGCATAATGGAAAGGAATTAAGCCAGCACGCCCGTCATGGATAATGCTACAGCCGGCACGGTCAACAGAATCGAAGTAGGCTTTCAAGTCAAGGAAAACCACTATAGTCGGTTGACTGTATGGGTCTCTGCTCTGAAACTTGGCGAAGAGTAAATATGGGGTCGATACAAATAGGAACACGGAGGAAGCCAGCCTGGTTTTCAGTGATCGGATGCTCACGGGAATCAGTAAGTCGTCCGAAAAAGATACCTGTGAAAAGTTTGGAAGTAATGGAAACAAGGCTAATGTCTCAATTACTTTCGTACAAAGTACGTTGATGCTACCTAAAGATGGGCAAGACAAATGACAGTCGCTAAACTGAAGGCATCTACTCCGTGTTCAGAATCGTGTTAAACAGAGAAGCAAGTCGAATCAACAAAGAGTCGCCTCCATCCGTTAACAAAGATGGAGGAAGGTCGTCTGGTCCAGGGGACCTGTTACGTTTCCATGCGGAAAGTTGATGTCAAATTCTTTTCAAAGTGGGTGTGACCTTTACTTTGCACGTCAGCTCAAAAGACTCGGCAAGCAGCTGTGTCGTAGTAGGCCTGCTAAACTGCTATTCAAAATGTTCCGCCCGACGGGTTAGTCAACGAGGCTGAAGATGGATCAAATGATCATCTTTCTCAGCTATTGTCGAGCTAACCGATGGTTTTCTCGGGCCCGTGTTCCTCATGAGCTGGAATAGCACTCGGTTGTTCTCAATAGCACTCACTTGCTCCATTTCACGAAAACGTCATTCAACAATGTTCCCAGTCGATTCGATGACTCCTCAGCAGACGTCGTTTCAGAGAGCAAGGGACACATTGAAACTCGGTGCCCATCTGAAGCAGTTGCTGTATTTCTATTAAAAGGATCGATAGTTCGAAAATCCATTCACAGCTACGACGTCTCCAGTTGTGTGCATGGCTGGCATCAAAGGCATTTTTCATGGCACATCTGAGACGATCCAATCCGAGGTTCGGTTCACCAACCTCACTCATCACTGACAACTGGTGGGTCAGTTCAACAAGATATTGTTGAACCGCGTCTGTCGATTCTTCTCCGCACACAATATGACTTTCTCCTGCACCTCGGCGACTGCCTTCGTGATCAGATAGCGCCATGCACGTCGATCAGCCGTCTTTGAGTACCAAGGTCTAAAATCTGGTGAGCTTCATCTGGGCGGCCAACATGGTGTAGGCGCTCGTAACGATAACGGCGAGCGGTTGCTACACATGTGTGAAGATGCTCGTCTTTCTCGAGAGCACAAACTTTCGACATAGCACCCGCAGAAGGGTGAATTGGTGCCCACCAGCCTCAGACTAGTCATGGACGCAAAGCGAACACATCGCTATCAGTTACTGCTGGAGATGTGTCCAAAACTGTCGCTCGATTTGGAGCGCCAGCTTAGACTCTGATCACGCTCTTGTGTGCGCCAACCTTCGGGTGCGTTTCGGTGGATGTCCGCAACAGCGCTCTGAGGGTATTGACACCAGCCAACTGGCGAAAACAGGTGCTCTGAATGCGTATCAAAGTACGCTGGCATCCGGGCAGAGTAAGCGCTCACTGAACGCTGTCACTGGATGCATGCCCCACAAAAGTTACTATCAGCAGTCATGTCTTCATGTGGCAAGTCAAATCGCCGACCGACACATTGGGTCTCCACAAATTCTCCGGAACTTATGGATGCTAGCCGGCGTATTCCGGGTAGAAGCAAATACAATGAGACTCGCGAAAATCTCAAGGCAAAACTACGTGCTAGCATGAAGATAGACCGCGAAGTCTGGCGGTCTCATCGTAGATTGGAAATGGAAATAGCCGCTGCCGTTGGTAATCATCGTAAGTTATTCGGTCCGATACGGGAAACAGGCAGCAGGAAACCTGGTGTTTGCAAGACAATACGCGAAGAGTGTGGAGAGCCTACCCACAGCCTGTCAAAACGGTTGGAGCGTTGGGCTGAGCAATTTGCAATGCAGTTTAACCAATCTGAGTTACCGCTTTCTTTTTCGTGCATTGAGTGCCGTTCTCCATGGGCCGTCTCCTTAGATCCACCCTAACGCGCAGAAGTCGAGAATGAGATCCGATTGTTTAAATTGAAGTCCGCAGGGACAGATAGAAATGCTCCAGCCCACTTCAAATTCGAGGGACCTACTCTTCTAGATGATGTACAGGAGTTGTTAGTGAACTTTTGGGAGCAGGTAATGGTCCCGACAGACTGAAGCCGCTCTGTCATCGACTTAACCTTCAAGGGAGGCTACCGATCCGAATGCGGCAATCATAGAGGGATCAGTCTGACCTCAATTGCCTCTAAATTACTAGCGTCTGTCATTCTCCACAGACTGACTGGCACTCGTGAAATTCAAATTCGCGAAGAGCAGGCCGGATTTCATCAAGGTGGGAGCTGCATCGACCACATTTTCACTTTGCGGTAATTGTTGTGGCATCGCCATATTTATTGGCAATCAACCGTAGTCGTGTTCCTCGACATCAAAGGTGTCTTCGATTCGGTGGATCGATGTGCCCTTTTGGACTGTCTGATCAGGAAAGGTGTGCCAGATAAATACTTAAACAGTATCAAAGCGTTGTATGCGCATAGTTCGGGAAGAGTGAGGGTTTACGGCAAGCTGTCGCCGCCCTTCAATATCACCAAAGGTGAGACAAGGTTGTCCGCTGTCACCTTTCCTATTTATCTTCGCCGTTGACGAATTCGTGGAAATAGAGTTCGCTGGACACGACCTGGTGGTCGACTTCTTGACTTGGAGGATACGGACGATACTGTCCTAATCTATGACAGCTCCCAAAGATGCCAAGCAGCACTGAACCGATTAGCATTGGCTGTCTATCGTTTTGGGCTATGCCTTGATCCATCGAAATGCAAAGTTCTCCAATATTGGCAGGAACCCACTCTTGCATTGACCCTTGGTGGTGATCACTTAGAAGTAGTTCAGGAATTCAAGTATCCGGGCAGCTATATTAGCGCCCGTGGGATCGAAGATGACATTACAAAACGTAGAGCAAAAGCTCAGGGTGCCTTTGCCAATCTCCGCCCCTTGTTGCGCAGACGCAACATCACTCGCGCCCTGAAGAACAAAGTCTACAATACATCCGTCCGTTCAAGCCTCTTTCTTACACGTTGTGAAACCTGGCCCATCAGGTTGACAGACATAAAGAGGCTAGTCACGTGTGACCATCGCTGTCTTCGCAGCTTAGCTCATGTACGTGAGCAATAAGCTTGTTCGGCGTCGCGTAGTTGGTGCAGGAGAAGTTAATGAACCGCTCGTCACCACTGTACCACGCACCAGGCTCCGATGGCTGGGCCGTGTGGCGTGTCAGCATACCGACTCCCGCGACGTGCATAGTTTGCGGGCCGGGGCTGCGGCTGGAAGAGGAGGAGGAGAAGCCAAAGAATGACTTGGTCGAGAGAAATGAGAACCCTCACTTCGAAACTGGCGTCGGTTGCTGCATCCCGACTGCCTGGCTGGGGTCCGAAGGACGATGAACACGTCTGGTTGGACACACTTGTTGATATGGCGAAGAGCCGGCCCCAGTGGCGTTTGCGTTTTGAGTTCCTTTGTCCATCCCCCTCCCTTTTAGATTCCCTCGCCAATTCCGATCTCATACAATTTACATACAATATTTAACAGCATATTATATGCTTTATAATTTCTCGTAGTGGAGTTTTTTGTATCATACCTTTCTGTATTGCGGCACATTAGCTGAGGTGTGTTTCTCACCCTCAACTAACGTGTATTGATGATGATGACCTGTAATCTATATTAGTACGTGATAGGCTCACCTCGATCATGTCCTACTAACGAAGCTTCGGTTTCCCAACATGCCGCTTCCGCACACAGCTTATCACATAACAGCAGCTTCGGTATGCGGGTCGAATCCATACGACGCACATGACCGAGCCACCTAAGGTGTCGCAGCAAAAGTATGCAGTGCACTGCATACATTCCACCTCGGCGCAACACCTACGCGTCCGCAACTGTCACATCAACCGATGCGCAGAGTCCGTCGCCGACACGGTTGATGAAATCGCTAGATACCTCACATCACGCCGGCAAATCGTCCACGTTTCGCTGACGTATAGAAAAACGGACAGCACCACGGATTCGTAGACCATCAACTTCGTACCAAAGGTAAGCTGGTGGTTGTTCCACACTCGGTACCCTAGCTTCCCGAATGCCGCCGCTGCCTTCGATACGCGGATACGAAGCTTACTGTATATTAGTTGGATAGTCGAAAACACACTCCCAAGATAGCAGAAGTGGGAGATGGTATTCAATAGGTATTCACCAATGCTTATTTAAGTTACCATTGCAGATTGCAGTTGCAGTGAAGGCGGAAAGAGACAGGCAGCTTTGCATGTGTTGATGGTGAGCCCGAACTTGATGCCTGTCGAAGCGAGAACCGAAGGCTCGTGCCGCAAATCATCCGCGCTGTGTGTAAACAACGTACAATCGTCTGCGAACAGCAACACAGGGATAGATGTCTTACAGACTAGGGTTATCGCACCGAAACGACGGATGTTCAGCAACCCCCTCTCAATACGGTGCTTCACATGAACACCGTAAGCACAAACCGCGTCAAACGTGCACATCATGGCATGAGGATAAATAGTAGACAGAGCAGGAACTAAGACACAGCCTGGCTTCAAGCTAGACAACTGCAAAGTCAGCCGAGATCTGTCCACTCAGCTGCACCCTTGCCTGCATCCTACTACGCAGACATTCAATAAAACTTGCAAACTTACTCGGACAACTAAAATTAACCAAAGCCAACCACAGTGCCTCGTGGTTCACCGTATCAAGTGATTTGGTGAAAACAACAAACAGCGAGTACAACGGCTGGTGTCGTTCTCTGTACTTACCCTGCAACTGAAGAGCCGCAAACACCATATATATGGTGTAGTGACCCGAACGGAATCCACATTGCTCTTCCACCATGTTAGGTCCCACTACCTGACTGGCGAGGCGGTTGAATAGGATTCGGACAATCACCACACAACTCAGCAAGTTGATACTACAATAATTCGTCGCACATCGATTGCTTCCTTTGCCTTTGTACACTGGGAGCATAAGCGCAGCTCTCAACTCAGGATGCACTTCCTCAATCCGAATTCACCAATGCGGGTCCGCCAAGTTTCAATACTTGAGACAAGATCCCGTCGGCACCGGCACGTTTGCCGTTTCGCAACTGAGCAAGTGCTCTCTGCGTCTCATCCAGTGTATGTGTGTCCGCCAGGCGCACCTACGTCTCCAGCTGTTTCAGGCTATACAATGTAAGGCAACCAATCCCTAAACGGTTGTACAAGAGACAGTCAAAGTGCTTTCGCTACACCTACATTAGGTCTGCAGTCTGTGCCTGAACTATCATCGAGGGGTGTCCCCAGCGGCTTCAACCACCGTCCATACACCGGCTTCAAGGAGTCAAAAACTTCTGTGTTGGCGGCGTTCAGCGTAGCAATCTATCTGCTTCGCCTTCTCCGTCCACCATGTATTTTAACGCGACAGAGCTCTTGAGTCAATTGCTGTCGAAGTATGCGAAACTGACTTTTCTCCAACTCACTAGGGTCTGCCTCAAGTGCAGCAAATGCTGCATTCTTGGCAGATGACAATGCACTAGTCGTCGCATTGTTTTCATCAAACCAATCGGGCCGCCTGCAGTTTGCACACCGATGATATCCTCTGCAGCAGCTGTCACCTGGTCGGGAATGTGGCGCCACAGGTCGCCCACTATGGCTATGCATTGGAAGAGGCAGCGTGGTGGCCAGCCGACCACCTGGCCTCATTGAAACATTGTATTTAATGGGAATAAAAGCTCGAGCTTTACATGACTCATAGGGTAAAAAGAGTTCGGGTCGGGTTTAATGAAAGGCCAGGCAACCTTATAGCGGGTTGGACTCGCGTGTTAGCTCTATCTTCATCGGGCTTATGCAGCAGTTAAACAGAATGCATGCCGGTTCAAAGCGTGACATCCCACCACGCCCTCCAAAACGGCTATGGAAAGGAAGTAGGTAGAAGAAAAAAGGAAAGAAACTCTATCAAGTAGAAGGTAGTTATATCAGGGAATATCGTGGTGTAACTCGGCCAAATGCCAGTCCAGGCGGGTCTTAAAATCCGCCACAGTGGGTGCCAAGACTAAATCGGCAGGCAGAGCATTTCACAATCGGCAGATTCGCAAAGCGAAGTAGTGTCGTCTGCAGTTCAGCCGACTGTGCTGATGTGTGAGCCTCAGTGGGTGGTCACGTAGGTGGGAGCCCGATTGGTGCAGTGTGAGTACATGGCGACAGGGATGTCCAGGGTTGGATAAGATCATAAATACAAGGATCAGGTCGCCCCGTAGACGTCGGTACTTAAGCGAGTAGAGGCCCAGGCAGTGAAGTCGTTGTGGATAATCTAGGTGCTTGAGACGTCGGACCAGTTTAGTTGTTCGACATTGTGGGGATTCGAGTATGCATTGGTCCTTCAACAACCAAGGGCTCCAAGCCTGAATAGCAAACTCCAAGTGGGGTCGAAGAAAAGCGTTGAGGAGGAGGCGGAAATTGCTGGGGTCAATTTGACCGAAGGCTCGTTTCAGCAATCCTACCATGCGGTTAGCAGCTGCTGCTGCTTTCCGGAAGAAAGCGGATACGGAAAGACTCGTCTGGGTAATGATACCCAAGTCTCTTTCGGCTGGAGAGATCTGGAGGATAGACGCTCCCAGGTAATATATAGGAGAAAAAAGGAAGAGTGGGTAGAAAAGAAGCGACATTTCGAAGCATTAAATGGAAGGTTGTTTTCTATGGACCACTGATGTAGACGGTCGAGGTCCGTCTGAAGTGCGTGAGCATCGTCTGGAAGGTTAATTGTGCGTCACAGCTTCGCGTCTTCCGCATATAGCAGCATCGAAGACTCCACTCGCGGTGTGACGTCATCAATGAAGGCTAGGAAGAGGTGCGGTCCGAGAACAGACCCCTGTGGAACTCCGCTTGTGGCAAGGATGCGGGGAGACAACGCTCAGTCGACGCGTACATGGAAAGTACGGTTTTGAAGGTAGTTCCGGATCCAGT